GTGGTGCCAAACTCTCATAAAATAGGCATAGAAAGAATGTACCTTTTCACAATAAATGCCATATATGACAAGCCCACGGACACCATCATACTCAATAATAAAAAGTTGAAAGCTTTTCCTCGAAGATTAGAAAAACAATGATTCCCACTCTCACCACAGCTATTCAACATAGTCTGGAAGTCCTAGCTAAAGCAATTAGGCACAAAAAAGAAATAAAAGGCATTCACACAGGAAAGGAAGAAGTGTATGTCTCTGTTTGCTGATGACATTAGGATTCTCCTAGCATATGAATTGGGAGAAAACATTGGCAAGCTGCACATTTGATATGGGGCTGACATGCAAAATATATAAGGAATTCATACAACTCAACAGCAAGAAAACAAGTCAATTAATAAATGTGCAAAGTATCTGAACAGACATTTTACAAAAGAAGAGACACAAATGGCCAAAAGGTAAATAAAACAGATGTTCAACATCTCCATTCATCAGGGAAATGCAAATGAAAGCAACAGTGAGATATCACCTCATGCTTGTTAGAATGGCTATTATCAAAATGATGAATGATAACAAGTGCTGGTGAGGCTGTAGACAAAAGGAAACCCTTGTACACCGTTGGTGGGAATGTAAATTAGTATAGCCATTTTGGAAAATATATGGCCGTTTCCTAGAAAACTAAAAGTAGCATTACCATATGATCCAGAAATCCTACTTCTGGGTATCTATTCAAATGAATTGAAGCCAGTATGTTGAAGAGATATCTGCATCCCCATGTTCATTTTAGCATTGTTCATAATAGTCAAGATATGGAAGCAACTTAAGTGTCTATCAATGGATAAATGAATTTATAAAGTGGTACATATACACAACAAAATAACCATACAGTCTTTTTAAAAAAGGAAATTCTGTCATTAGTGACAACATGGATAGAACTGAGGAACATTGTGCTAAGTGAAATAAGCCAGGAGCAGTAAGAGAATTACAGTATGATCTCACATGTGAAATCTAAAAACAGTGACCTCATAGAAACAGAGTACAAAATGAGGACACAGAAGATGGAATGAGGAAACAGAAGAAGTGGATCAGAGGGTAAAAAGTTTCCATTAGACTGAAGAAAGTTTTAGTGATTTCTTGCACTGCATGTTGACCACACATAATAATGTATTGCATATTTCAAAATTGCTAAAACAGGTTTTTAACATTCTTACCACCACAAAAAATGATAAATTGGTGAGATGATGTATATGTGCTTATGGTTTGAATGTTTGTTCCCTCCAAAATGCATGTTGAAACTGAATGCTTAATGTGGTAGTATTGAGAGATGGGGCCTTTAAGAGGTGATTGGATTAGGAGAGGTCTGTCCTCATGAATGGATTAATCTATTCATGGATTACTGGATTAAGGAGTTCATGGATTAAAGGGTTATCATGGGAAGGGAACTAGTGTCTTTATTAAAGGAAGAGAGACTTAAGCTAGCAAGGTAACATATTCAGCCCCCTTGCCATTTGATACTCTATACCACCTTGGGACTCTGCAGAGTCTCCACCAACAAGAAGGCTCTCACAAGAAGTGGCCCCTTAATCTTGGATTTCTCAGTCTCCATAACTGTAAGAATTAAATTCATTTTCATTATAAAGTACTTAGTTTCAGGCATCCTGTTATAAATCTGTTATAACAGAAAATGAACTAATACACTAATTAGATTATTTCTATAATATATGCATAGTTTAAAACACCACATTGTACCCCATAAATATACATCATTACTGTCAATTTTAAAAAAAACAAAATATCATTACACATCTATTGGAATAGCTAAAATAAAAAACTGTGACAACATCAAATATTGACAATGATGCAGATGAACTGATCACTCATTCACTGCTGGTGGGAATGTAAAATGGTATAGCCACTCTAGAAGCAGTCTGGCAACTTCTTTAAAAGCTTAGCTTGTAACTACTATATGATCCAGCAATTGTACTTCTAGGCTTTCATCCCTGAGAATAAAGACAATGAAGACTTACATCCACCCAAAAACCTACACACAAAAGTTTATAGCAGCTTTACTCATCATACTGCAAAAGTGAAAACAAACAAGATGACCTTCAAAGGGTGAATGGTTTTAAAAAACAACAACAACCGTATGCAGGCCTACCAGGGAATACTATTTAGAAATAAAGGAAAAAACTACTCACATATGCAACAACCTGAATAAAACTGTAGATAATTACACTCAGTGGAAAAAATAAAAACACACAGTGCCAAATAATCACATACTATATGATTCCATTTTTATAACATTCTTGAAATGCACAATTATTTAAAAAGATAGTGAACATACAGTGGATGCTATGAGTTAAGGAAGTAGAGGAAGCAGTGGGAGGGAAGTCAGTGTGGCTATAAAAGGCCAGTATGTGGTATTCTAGTGGTGACAGTGTTCTGTTAGACTGTTCAACAACTGAGCGCTGATTATTTTGATGATCATTTTACAGATGAGGCAACTGAGACTCAGATGAGTTAAGTCCCAGACCTAAAGTCGCACAGGTAGTAAGCAACACAACTGGAATTCAATTTCAGGTGTATCTTCTTATTCCAGACTTCATGCTCCTTTTTTTACACCACCGATTAACATCATTAACCAAATGAATTTCTACCAAACATTTCATTTTTCCACTTCTCAAATACTATGAGATGGTGCAGCTGCAAAAGCATGCAAGTGTATATTTCATATAACACCACAGAAGTTTTAAACATTCATATGCAGAACCAGAAGGTAACGTGAAGTGGAACCTTGCTCCGGAATCCCTGCCACCTTTCCTGTTGGGAAGTTTCTGGGTGGGGTTAGAATATCTCTAAGGTGCCCAGGCTCAGATTTTAGGCAAATAGCTATAACCTGTCTGACTGGGTAAGTTGATTTACATGGACCACATCTACCAATTTTATTCAGGCAAATTGTGTAATGTAGCACTTCATGAGTATGAGAAAACACAAAACCAATTAAAGACACATTTACAAAATCCTCTACCATACTCTTTAAGGTAAAAAATGCTTCATTTTAAGAGTCCATATGCAAAGAATTGTATGAATAGTTTATAATAAAGAATGGCATGAAGCTTAAGTCTGTAACTGTTGTAAAAGAAATTTCCCATTTCAACTGGCCAACTGGTAAAACAGGCTGCTGTCTTTACAGCTCTATGTTGGTCTCCGGGGATGCATCGAAAGAAATAACTGTTCCCTACAGATAGGAACAGGCTGATGAACTGCTGCTTATGCCTAAGGGGCCACCCATGTTACAAGAATACTAAGAGCACTTTTTTTTAACTACTTGCAAGAACGGAAACTCTGAAACACAATCATAGGTGATCACAGGCTACCTAGTGCAAGTCGTCTAATTCGTTTTGGACCCTTTCCCATTCCAGCTGCACTTTTCATTCACAATCCTCCTATACTGAGATGTTTCCATGAAGCCCTGCATTCCCAGATTTATGGTTAATTCATAGACTCTCACCGCTGCAAAGATCCTTGGCCGCTACAAATGAGAGTTCCACTCCTTGGCCAAATTATCTGCTGCCACAGCACTGTCATGCTCTGCTTGGAATCTTCCAGGGCTTCCCACCACTGACTCCCCATCTTGCTTCCCCACCCTAGAATCCTGGCATCCTTATTAATCCCTACATTCTAGGCAAACCAAGCTATTCATTATTCTTCACACTCAGAGTTTTGTTTTGTTTTTGTTAATACTGAACCTTCTACCCCGAATACCCATTTCCAAGTGTCCCAAATGACTCAATTTTAAAAACCCAGGTTGGATGCCAACTCTTCCCCCTCCCTCCTCCACTCCCCAGGTCCGATTGTCTCCCTCCAATCTGCCTTCTTTTGACTTTCCACAAGCATTGTACTTAATGGCCCAGCCACTTCCTACACCTGCCTCAGCTACTGGTGTCTGGGGAATTGTCTCTCGTGGGGCATATGATACAGAGGGCTGCTTCTTGTTTTTCTCTATACCATATGTCCAAGATTTTGGCTTCCCTGGGCCACACTGGAAGAATTGTCTTGGGCCACACATAAAATACCCTAACACTAATGACAGCTGATGAGAAAAACAAAGAGAAAAAAAAAATCGCATATTTTAAGAACATTTACAAATTTGTGTTGGGCCGCATTCCAAGCTGTCCTGGGCAGCACGGAGCTGGTGGGCCACGGGTTCAACAAGCTTGGTCTATATACCTTCAGTCTCTGGTGGAGTGCCTGGCACAAAGAACTGCGGAGCAAATGTTCACTGAATGAAGGAATAAGGAACCCAAGCCCAGAGAAAACAATGAATTACTTTTTCTAGCACGAGTCACAGTAATAGTCCCGAATGCCAAGGGAATCTCACCCTCCAAGTTTCCAAAATCTAATATAATAATAGTTACTTGTACTATTACTCGTGTTCACTTCAGTGAGGGCAGTGGGTTTAAAAAGCCTTAAGCAGGCCGAAAGTGGTGGCTTAAGCCTATAATCCCAGCACTTTGGAAGGCCGAGGAGGGTGGATCACGAGGTCAAGAGATCGAGACCATCCTGGCCAACATAGTGAAACCCCATCTTTACTAAAAATACAAAAATTAGCTGGGCGTGGTGGCGTGTGCCTGTAGCCCCAGCTACTTGGGAGGCTGAGTCAGGAGAATTGCTTGAACCCGGGAGGCGGAGGTTGCAGAGAGCCGAGATTGTGCCACTGCACTCTAGCCTATCGCCTGGCGACAGAGACTCTTGTCTCAAAAAAAGAAAAAAAAAAAGGCTTACTTAGATTGGGTTTCTAGTCCCAGCTCTGCCACTTAACAGCTGTGTAACCTAGGGAAGCAAGTCTCTTGCCCTGTGGACTCAGTTCCCCAGTTTGTGAAAAAGAGGAGATTGGATTAGATTTGTGGTTCTCTAAACATTTCAACTTTTCCCGCTTGCCAGCTGGTTAGAACACGGTTGGTTGCCGGGGCGCCTCGAGGTCCCCCCCACTGCGCCCAGCACACCTCACTCTTAAGCCGGGGTCGTCTTCTCGCACCAGGAGGCAGGTGCGTGTGTCCTGGGGTGTCCCCTGGCCTCGCGGCTGCCCACCCCGCCGCTGGCGGCCGCGGGACGACTCCAAGTGCACCCGGGAGAGACCCGGGAGGCCGGCGCCGGCCACCACTCAGGGCCGTCCTCCAGGGCCAACGCCAGCACCAGCGACGCCACGCGGAAACCGGCCCGGCCGCCCCTCCGCGGCTGTGGGACGCCCGCACGCTCCGGCGTTGACGCGCGGGCCCCGGCGTCTGGGCGCTGCCCAGCCGGCACGAGGCTCCGACCATCTGGGAGTCTCCCGCTCCGCCCATCGGGGAGTCTCCCGCTCCGCCCAGGAGGCGGGTCTCGGTCGCCCCGAGCCGCGCTAGGCCCCGAGCCGCGCTAGGCCCCGAGCCCCGCTTCGCGAGCCCGTCGAGGGCCTACCCTTTCGTGCTCCCGACGCAGCCGCCTCCGCGCGCGCGCGCACGCAGCGCACACGCTCGAGCGCCAACGGTCCCAGCGCAGCGCCGGCTGCGTAACCAACTACGCCGCCCGCGGCCCCGCACCGGCCTCGTAGAAGTTCCCGCAGCCAAATTTCAAGGGACCAGGCGCTGTGCTAGGCGCTGCGGTTATAAAGCTGATCGGTTTTGTTGAGCTCAGGAATGTCCGGGTACACCCATCATGAATACACCCGCTCTAATAGCTCAAAACAAATTCCCTAGGACCCAAGGGATCCTGGTTACCTGCACTCCAAGAAAGCCTCTCGGTCTTTGAGTCAGCAAAGCTGGGGAGGAAGGACTGGCCCTAAAACAACCTCACTGCTTTTACACGCACGCACACTCCTCGCCGCTTTTACACACACATGCACGCAGGCCAGATCTGTGAGTTTAAAAATAAAGCTGGGGCAGGCAGAGTATCCTTTTTCTCACTGCTAAAAAAAGAGAGGCCAGGAATACTAACCAGCTAAGTAAAGAACTCTTGGAAGACAAAGTGATCTTTATGGAGCACTGCGCAGGACTTGACTTCCACCTAGGCATATCTTAGATGTTTACTCTGATGTAAATGGAATCGCAGCTAACAGGATTTCTTTCCCCCGTTTATTTCAAAGCTAAAATATCTCGGATTTTATGTGTTTTGTCTTAATGGGATACCAGCTACCTAAATATGCAACTGTTTTTCATAAAGCTATTGGCTTGTGTTATGAAGGTGAATCAGTGATCTGAAATTTGGGGCTGGATGGGCACCTTTGGAAACAGTACATAGAAGAACATTGAAAACATGTAATTATTGGCAAAGTGGAAACTAGAACATTTGAGAGATTGTAGCTTTTTGTGCATTAATATTTTTCTTACATGTTCCTTAATATATATTCAGAGTTATAAACTGAATCAGATATGCCTTTCAATACCCTTTTAATATCTCAAAGAGAAAGCCATAAACATGCATTTGCTTTATGTTTCTCAACTATTTCAATTGAGTCATCACTCTAGAAAGTGGTTCATGATTTTATACAGGAGAGCTATTGTGAGCATTTATAAAGCCATCCTGTTTATGAGCTAAATTTATTGTGTTTGCTGGGTTAATCTGTTTTCTCTAATCAAACACTTAATCATCCAGTCTCCTCCTTGCGTTATAGATTCATGAATGTGAAGTGAGGTGAGTTGCTCAGTCAAGGTAAAATGATAAATTATCTTTTCATTTTCAGGGTATTTGTGATTAAATGCTTCATAATAGAATTAAAATGAAATAAATCTTGGAATTTTACTTCTAGATTCCTGCCAGGTATAGATAAAATGAATTTGGTTAAGAGCAAATTCAATTCCATGCCTGAATGGAATTTATAGGAGAAATGTGGAAAGCATTGTAGGTCAGGAGAGCCCTGAGTTCTCTCTTCATTTCTATGAATTGGAGAGAGAGTTGATCAAGTGGTGGTACTCTATGGATGAGCAGCAGAGAATTAAAATTCCCATTTAGAAAGAATGAGGACTTAGTTTTGAGCAGTAAAAGGCGAAGTGTGTCTGAATCTAGAGTTGTAATCTGGGACCTCAGGAGCTGTGATTGAAGCAGATGTTAAATTACAATTAAATAAACAGTTCCTATTATTTTGGCCATTGTAAGTGAAGCCCTGTGTGGCTGGCTTTCTCTGCTGCTGCCTAATTATGTTGTAAGAGTTGAAGCATATTGAAATAAGCATAATGGAGATGAACTCATTTGTTGTCCTGTTTGTTGTTAAGTGAATAAAGTTCACATTCCAGAAAAAGCACTACAAGGTAACAAAAAATCACAATTTGCCTTTTAAGACATGGAAACTAGAACCGATTGGCATTGTGTGATATTAGACAGAAGTCTCAAACAACCCTATATGTTTTGTGCATATTTTACAATTAGTGAAGCACTTTGATTCTGTTGTCTCATTTGATCCTCACAGCAAACCTGTGACTCCTCAGGTCCTGGCAGTTGGTGTTAGGCCGGAGATGTGGAGCTCTGTACTTTAGGTTTCCTGGGGTAGAATTGAAGTTGGGCCTCTTAGGCAAAAGCTCTTCCTCTACCCAGACTCCCTCTTTCATCAGGCAGCGAAAGAAAAGCCTTTTTTTTTTTTTTTTTTTTTAGGTTTTAAAAACCACAAAAAAAAAAAAGCTGCACAAAAAACTGAAATATTTGCCAAGATAATACAGAGATGGTAGGCTACATGAGCTAGTATCTAGGAGTTGAGACAATCATTCCAGTAGTTCCAACCCCAGCCCCCAAAATCTATGCTGTTAAAGTAAAAGCTTTTTTCTTGACTTGAATGTCCAGGTCACCTGTCTGCTCAGACTGGCTTTTTTTTCTGTACGAATTGTTCAACCTTCTAATTCAATCTGCTTTGTATATTTGTGGTCAGCATCATTGGAACTAAAAATGTGTTTGCTTACAGATATTTCATGTAGTGTACATTCAAGCTAGGTAATGTCTCTGCAACTGCTTACAGATATTTCATGTAGTGCACATTCAAGCTAGGTAATGTCTCTGCGACTGCTGTTTCTTGATGATTATATTCATTTGAAATGACTAAGCTTGGTAAATTAGGCTAAGCCAATTTACCAAGCTTAGTCATTTCAAATGAATATAATTTACCAAGACTGTGGAGCTGTCAAGGGATGAATGAAGAAAAGAATAATGTTATGGAGGCTACATCAGAGACAAATAAATCTATCAGCATATGGCAAGGCAGGAAGGACAGAGATATGCCTCCTGTAGAAGAAGTTGCCTGCGTCTTCTCAGAAAAAAGGCAATGGAAAAGCAGTGAGTCACGAGTCTTGGGTTCTGAGCCTGGTTCTACCATTTGCTAGCTGTATGACAACAGGCATGTTTCTTAAACCTCTGAGCCTCATCTTATACATGTATGAAACAGTAAAAATAATAATGTAGCCTACCATCTTTACAGATTTGTGAAAAAGCCTTTTAAATATATAAAACGTTTAATATATATAAGAAAGATAAATTCAAGCTATGGGTATGACACAAAAATATACTTGAAAATTATTCTTAAATTTCACCATATTTAGGAAGAGATGGCTAAATATAAACATAATATTCCTACTTCTGCATGTCCTGTTTGTCTCTTTGCATTTTAAATTCCGAGCAAGCTATCTTATTAATTGTAACAGTTAAATAGTGTACATTTCTGTTATTTAAAAGTGGTACTGACGATGTAATTAAACTTTTATTATCTTTTTTTGATCTAATAAGTAAGTGCATGACTAAAGAAGGAGACAAATATCAATGATTTCAGAGATTTTGCCCTAAGGGAAAATCATACAATGAGTTTGGAAAAAGGTAATTCTGACTTGTCCTCTACAAAATGCTAAATTTCTGCCCCAAATCTTAAAGCACAAATGTTACAGGATTCTTGGTGACAAGAAAAGTGATAGTAAATGCACTTTAGCACTAAAATTCATGTATCCATGGAAACCTGTGAAGTTCTGTAAGCACACACACACAGCCTACAGTATTTATTGAAGAGCTAAGGCAACAATCAGTGGGTTACTATGCTGTGAAAAGGCAACAGATTGCTGGGAGCTGCTCTGCACAGGCATGGGTGAGGTTGTTTTCCCCTGCTAAAAGTAATTACAGAGAAATTCAGAAATCTCAGACATTATTGAGACAAAAACCTGTTTATTTATTTATATATACTTGTACCTTTCAGAATAGTGTCCTTAAATCAGATTTTTAATCAGAAAAGCTTTGAAAAGTCATCAGCATTTCCCCTTCCCACACATTTGTAGCCATGGTCAAAAACTCTCTAGATTTTCCATGCATGCAAAGAAAGATATTTCTTAAATGTTGGAAGAGAATGCCCCCAGTTTTTGCCAAACTGATTATTCCTGGATATTTAAATATGTTCTTATCAGTGTTTCCTAATGTATAATGACTGTGAGAGCAAAGAGCATAACGATATTTGGGGGAAAGAATTGCCTGCAAATATCTGAAGTGTTTATTTAACCAAAAACTGATACTCTAATAAAATAAAGAAGTAATGCTATTTCATAAAGGTATATTCATACAGCATTCTTTTATTCAAACATACATCTCATCTCATTTAATCCTTACATAAATCTCAGTGAGTATTGTTATGCCCATGTTCTCTTCCATCGCCAAGTCCTGGACTCTTTCTCAAATCTTATTCTGAATTTTAGTAACTTGGAAATGATCTGTGTTTGGGTTGAAACACATTGAAACAGAGGTAAAATTATTGAGTTCTTAAGAATACTTCATGTTTTATCCCCAGTTTTCCTTTAAGTTTGGTCTTCTAAAGATGGGCTGTTCAATATGATACCCATTAGCCACATGTGATTACTGAACACTTGAAATGTGGCTAGAGGCTCACATGAGATAATATTCGAATATATTGGTTTAAATACTAAACGCTAATTTCACCTGTTTAAAAACATTGTTTTAATATGCTTACTAAAATATTTTAAAATATATATATGTGGCTAGCATTATATTTCTATTGGACAGTGCTGCTATTGTCCAGAGCTTTCAATAGGGGTCTCTTTTTTTAAATCATTTAGTATATGCCAGACTTTCTCAATCTTGCTACTGACTTGCCATACTTTTCACCAGAATAATGATATTGGTTCACACTGATTGTTTTCACCTGAAAGAAGTGCTTTAAATTCTCTTCTCTTTATGGAGCAGGTTTCTCTTCTTTTCTCCCATGCAAAATCCAAGTGGCAAAATCTAATGCCACTTGGATCCATGGCAGAATCCAAGTACGCAAATCAACCTCGTTCGTTTTCCTGTTTGTTTGTTTTTAGCTCTTTGGACCTCAATATTTTATTCTAATGTATTTTAATGGAGTTTAATAATTAAGCAAATGATGTAAATAAACCCTTGTGCAAGAGTTTGTAATGATCCAGGACTCTGGTGATTTAGTTTAAACTCATAAGACTGGGGGAAAAAAAGAGAACATATGAAAAAATAATAGTTTGCTTCCAGTTGCATTAGGAATACTTTCACCTGAAAGTAAGAGAAGACCACATTAATAGTAGTTTAAACAACCGGGGTTTGTTTTTCTCATATATTAAGAAGTCTGAAGATAGGCCCTTGCTGGATTGATACCTTGCATCGAATCACTCAGAAAAAACTTGATGGTTTAACCTTTAAAATATATCTAGAATCTAACCTCTTTTCCTACCTTCATCACTTCCACCTGTGTCCAGAAACGCTTCTTTTTGTAACATTTTCCTAGCTTGTCCGTCTGTTTTCTTCCTTGTTCTCATTTAATGTTTTCTAAATCCAGCAGCCAGAAAGGTTCTGTTAAAATTTTATAGCATGGGACGGGTGCTGTGGTTCATACCTGTAATCCCAGCACTTTGGGAGGCCAAGGCAGGTGGATCACCTGAGATCAGGAGTTTGAGACCAGCCTGACCAACATGGTGAAACCCTGTTTCTACTAAATTAGCCTATTTCTACTAAATTTAGAAACCCTGTTTAGAAAAATTAGCCAGGTATGGTGGTGCATGCCTGTAATCCCAGCTACTCAGGAGGCTGAGACTGGAGAATTGCTTGAACCCAGGAGGCGGATGTTGCAGTGAGCCAAGATTGTGCCATTGCACTCCATCCTGGGCAACAGGAACAAAATTCCATCTCAAAAAAAAAGTATAGCATGTTGCTCCCATGCTCAAAATCTTCCAATAATTTCTTACATCTTTCAAAATAACCTGTAAAATCATTACTGTAGCTTCCAGTTCTCTAGAAGATCTGGAACTTGGTGAACTCTCTAATCTCATTCCCTTCATTTTTCTGTTGTTCACTCAGTTCTAGCCACTCTGATCTTCTTGCTACTTTTTGAATAGCTGAGCGCACCTTCCATCAGGGTCTTTGCAGATGCTGTACCATTTTCCTGGAGCACTCTGCCCACCTCGCCAATATCTGCATGATTTACTCTCATTTTCTTTGTGTCTCTCAAATGTGATTTTATCAGTTGGACATTCCTTTATAAACCTATGTAAAATATCACCCCATGACTCTTCAGCTCCCTTACCCTGCTTCATTATTTTAATCATAGCTCTAAACTCTACCTGATACATATTTATTATTGGCTGTCTTGCTCTCTATTAAAATGTAAGTTCCCTGAAAACAGGGACATTGTTTTTACATTTCAATTCCAAGCACTAATGCAGTGCATGGAATGTAATAAGCATCCAATAACTAGTTGTTGAATGAATACTTCAGCACCTGGATGGGATCAAGTGCCTCTGTCAGTGTCCCTTGACCTTCTCCTCCTTGCTTCCAGATGGCTGCTGCAGCTCCTACCATCATATCTTTGTACAACCACCTTCAAAAATAGGAAGCAGTGAGAAAAAAGCCTTTTTCCTCCTTTGCTTTTATCTTAACAGGGAGACAAACACCTCCCTGAGAATATTCTATCAGACTTCCTTTTACATTTTCTTGATTAGAACTAAGTCATACAGGTAGATAGGAGGAAGAAGCTCTTCTGTTCTATTGTACAGTAGGGTGACTATGGTTAATAATATTGTATTATATTTAAAAAGTATATTTTAAATATTTTTTAAAATGTGTTTTTTTTGATGGCTAAAAAGAGGATTTTGAATGTTCTTATCACGAAGAAATGATAAATTACCTGATTTGATTATTGTACAATGTATACATGTATTGAAACATCATACTTTCTCTCATAAATATGTGCAATTAGTATGTGTCAATTAAAAACAAAAAAAATTGTTTTTTAAAGAACTGAATCAAGGGCTACCTCTGTTTGCAAGAGAGGTTGGGAAAGGATTTTTCTAAACTTTAGCAAAGGAGACAGACAAGCTAAAACAGTATGATTAATAAAAGCATCATCCCAATAAAATGCCATGATTAGGACACCTTGTACATATCACATGGCTGATTAGAGCTTTGTTAAACCATGAGATTTAAAGGCACTCAATTTAATGCTTTCACTGTAGATTGCTCCTATTTTTTTTCCTACCTTTTATGTCCTGAAAACATAACCATTTATATGACTTATTGTTCCAATTTAATTACTATTTTGTTAAAGGAAAATGCTTTCGAATAATTATGTGGAAAAATTATGTATATAATTTTAATTAGGGAAGGTTGATAGAAGGGTATGTCAGATAGAAGGCAGATGAGGAAAAATGGCCAAAGGCATGCATACTTCAGATTGGGACAGAAGGAAAAAGCTGAGAGAAGGTTGACTGAGAGAGCAGTGCAGGTGTGTGGGTAGGAGTGGGGTTGGGAGTGAGAGCAGGCCAGAGGGAGTACTGTCACACTTGATTTTATATCCCAATTTATGATTTGCAAAAGTGCCAAGACTTGGTTTTTATGTAACATTTGTAAATTAGACACTCAGAGTGTTACCTAGCAATTTATTTTTCCTTTTGAATAATTTACAAAAGCTTGATTCTTGGCAGATTGATGGTGTGGCCCATGACAGTGTCCTCAAAGTTCTAAGGGAGCCTAGAAAAGACACTAGGGTTTAGATGCCCAAATAGGCTCCCTTCTTCACGTCTTCCATGAGCTATCCACAGCCTAATACCTTAATCACAAGTGAAGACATATATTTCAGGCTTGACATGTGGGTCGCTAGGCAAGAAAACAACCTGTTCAGGACTCCAGGGTAGAGAGAGAGGAAGCAAAGAGACCCTCTTACCTTTTAATTTCAAATATTTTGTGTCCTATTATTCCAATTTTCTGGCACAAAAGAAAATAATCACTCAGAATCCCAGAGTCGTAGAGTCAGAGGATGCGAAAGCTTGGACCTCAAGACATGGTTGCTTGCACTACCCGACCGTCAGGTAAGCTCTGCATTGTGTGAACACATAGATACTGTGTAATGCTACTGTTTTATTCTGTGACTATTTAAAGTGAAAAGAGAGCTTTCACATTTTGTAGTGACATTCATGATGACATATGAGGCAGCCATTTTATTTTATTTTATTTTCTGAACTTTTTCTTTTTTTAATTATACTTTAAGTTCTGGGATACATGGGCAGTTTGTGCAAGATTGTTACACAGGTATACACACGCCATGGTGGTTTGCTGCATCCATTCCCCTGTCACCTACATTAGGCATTTCTCCTAATGTTATCCCTCCCCAATCCCCCAACCCCCTGCTATCCCTCCCCTATCCCCTACACCTCCCAGCAGTCCCCAGTGTGTGATGTTCCCCTGCCTGTGTCCGTGTGTTCTCATTGTTCAACACCCACCTATAAGTGAGAATATGTGGTGTTTGGTTTTCTGTTCTTGTGTCAGTTTGCTGAGAATGATGGTTTCCAACTTCATCCATGTCCCTGCAAAGGACATGAACTCATCCTTTTATAGAGGCAGCCATTTAAAAATGAATTATATCTGAATACTTAGTCACTTAGCTATCTTTTGCAAAAAAAAAAAAAAAAGCATGAATGAGAAACAGGTGAGACAGGATTAATTAAAATCACCACTGGCTGTGAAATCCTTTGTCAAATGCAGCATCTGGGATAGGACACAGACCTGTTGCCCCAAGTTTACATATAATGCATCGTAGTGTTGAGCTGGCAGGTTCTCCAGTCCTGTAGAAAATGGCTTCCAGTTCTTTCTGTTAAACTATTAAAAAGGAAGAAGAACTTGACAATGAAAAGTGAACACATTGACCTTGAGATAATTTGATTTTCAACCAAATTATCTTACTTGCCATGGATAAACTCTTGATTGGGGTGTGCCCAGAGCAGTGAGCAGGACTGACTGCCTGGTTTTAATTCCAGCTTGGCCATGTGTAGAAGTGTGATGTGGGCAGATTACTTAACCTCTCTGTTCTCCTATTTTCCCACCATCTCCTATGAATACCTACCTCTTTAGGTTAATGTGAGGATTAAACACCTTGATAAATGATAGATCCTTAGAATAATGCCTGGAAAATACTATATAAGTGTTAGCTATTATTGTTTCTACCCAAAGTAGATATGTGGTCAATGGATAGAAACATGGAAGAATTTGGTGGAACTAACTCTTCGACAAAGTAGATTTAAGGACATAGGGAGAACAAATATTTCATTTCTAAGGAAAAAAGAATTGCAAACCTATTAATAAGAAATTGTAGCATGATATTTATTTCAAAAGGTATAAAAGACATTGCCTTGTATAATATGGATCACAGCTGTCCATTTCTCTCTGGCTGTATGTCAAAATTGACTCTTCACTGAAACGGCTGAAAAATTTAGCCAGAAACTAATTATTAGATTAAAAAAAAAAAAAAAAACAGAGAGAGAAAGAAACCAAGTGACCTTTTCTGTGCCCGAACATTGATTCCATTAGGACTCTAGAGCCAGTTGAACCAGTATCCTCTAGGCTAGCTAGCTAGAACAGCCTCCTCCTCTCTCTCTCTCTCTTTTTTTTTTTTTTTTTTTTTTTGCTGTTAATAAGTTTTTACTCTTCCTAGGGCTGCCCCAAGCTCAGTTTCTTAATGTTAAACTTTGAATAGTGATGCCATTCCCTGTGGCTTATTGTTATAAGAAATGTCAAGAATCCTTGGGTTACTGATATTCAGTCTCTTCCTATTCCAGCTAACACTTGGAAGCTTAGAAGCCAGAGCCTGGAATTTGTATATAAAGCACAGTGAGGTTATTGGAGGCAAACTGGCCTGTGATGAACCTAAAGGCAAAGCCATGCCTGGATGTGCTGTGGCTCCATGGCATGGCTGCTGCACAGCAGCCTCCCCATGTTTGCGTGAGGGACTTTGCAGCGCACCCCTGGACTCTGTCTCAGTTTTAATGACTGTCTAATGGAATTAACATGGTGTCTCATGAATCTACAGGTCAGCCATTTGAGATAACTCCTGGGCTGGTTGGAAGTAGTATCAATAGCTCCAGAGTGCCTGAAAACTACTGAAAAAAATACGTAATAGAAACAAGTTTAAGGGAGAGGAAATATAAAGAAAAAGAAAAAGAAAAAAGCTCCACCACAGCAAAGTGATTATTGTCCTGCTGAGTTACCTTTCCTGCCCACCCCATACCACCCATCCCATTTCAACCTCCACCGGACCACCAGAAGTTTCTAACACTGAG